AACGAAGTGATTCAACAATAAATGGTACGACTATACAAGAATTTGGAACATGCACTAAAAACCTTGAAAATGTATCCCGGATGATCTGATTTCAAAATGTTCAAAACTGGGAAGTTGAATGGAAATTGGGAGGAATTACAATGCCAAAGAAAAAATTAAGATGAACTGCAAATGCGGAAGTTCCATATAGTTTCATTTCATCTTTGCACGTTAACACGTTAAAAAATACAGAATACCCAAAAACATTTAAAAAAGAACAAACGTACTCCTCCAACGTGTGCATCTTGGACCCAAATGTGATATCACTTCGGTCAGTCGCCTCTCGAAAAACTTCAGGTCTAAAAGTTAAGTGTAATGATTGGTGAGAATGGTGATTTCATTTTTTCCAACTCAACAGGATTTATGTTTGGAACAAGCATGATCACTTCTGCAAAAGCTAGCATTTCAATGCAAACAAAACTGAACTTCTCTCTGCTTTATCGTGATAGCCTATGCATGTTTCTGGCCATACTTGATCCATAGGTATTGTAAGGGTCACCAAAATACAAACAAAGTGGTAAACCAAATCTATACAACTTAATCCCAACAAAAATAAATCAAATAATAAGGTATATAGGTCAATCCGTAACTAGCCACTTTAGAGCCTAGCTTACCATATTCTTGATCATATCGATCTTAAGTATGCAGGGTAAAAAATAAACTTGAAGACTGCTTTATTCTAAGAACAAACCTTCACATGCGGTAGCCGCATCATCCATATCAAATCCGTTTCGCGGTAACGTGTTGAAACACACTTTCGTGCAATTGTATCCCACAATGGTCTATTTCAGGGCAAAACTACTACAGTCATTTTCAGAGAAAAACCTTCGTGGAATCTAACCACTAATGCCGATAGCAATTTCGATAAAATCTTTATCTTCAACAACATGTACATTCCCATATATGGAAATATAACAAGAAACAGCAACAAGAGGGAATGCAAGCCCACATAAACAACAAATGGGAAGTGTTGGAATTGGCAGTATTGTAATCTAACGAAATGTGTGGTCATTGTTGATGTTTTACTTTATGCTTCTTCTGCAGTTTTCGCCACCACTGATTACTCTTCTTTGCATTAGAATTCTTTGAGCCAAAGTCAACAACTCCGGATGATTTCTGCAAAATGAAAAAACCTATAAATCCAACAAAAAAAAAGTTGAAGTTACATACCGATATTTCTCCCGCTGCTTGGACTATCGACTTTCCAGTCAAGCGCTGCTTTTTCGCATGTTTTTTGCCAGCACGAACTCCTCGACCTCGTTTTCCGGTTTCCGACATATTTTTCTCTGCTTTCTTCCTCTGGAAGAAGACAAGATGCGTTCAGTATTAAAGAAAGCTAATGTAACCTTCCAGCCCACCTCCTTCTCTTCCTCGTCGGAGTGCATGGCATCAAGATCCTCCTCCAGATCACTAACCCCGGAGAGATCGCTGAGACCAGAACAAAGTGAACCGACATCAGTCAAGTCGTCGTCCTAGATTTTTTTTTTCATATTGGAATTTAGAAGTTTGCAGTTTATAAAATGGAAAAAGCTCTGGAAAATTTCAGATAAAGCCAATATCAAAAGGCTCCCATGATTAGGTTTACAAATTCAAAAACGCCAAAGAGAAAATTTGGGA